GGTGGTGCTACTGCTGCTGGAGGTGCTGGAGGTGCTGCTGGTGCTGGAGGTGCTGCTGGAGCTACTGGAGGTGCTGCTGGTGCTGGAGGTGCTGGTGCTGCTGGAGCTCCTGGTGGTGCTGCTGCTGCTGGAGCTGCTGGAGGTGCTGCTGGAGCTACTGGAGGTGCTGCTGGTACTGGAGCTGCTGGAGGTACTGGCGCTGCTGGAGGTGCTGCTGGTGCTGGAGCTGCTGGAGCTGCTACTGGTGCTGGTGCTGCTGGAGGTGCTGCTGGTGCTGGTGCTGCTGGTGCTGGAGTTGCTGGAGGTGCTACTAGGACTGGAGACCCTGGGGCTGAGGGTACCGGTTCTCTCTCTGCTGTTTCTGGAGGCGCTGCGCGGCCGCGGCCGTACTACGTTCCGCTCCTTCAGCAGGTTCTTGGCTCCCCGCCTTCTCCTGGTCCTCCTCCTCCTTTCCTGAGTCCACCGCCTGTCCAGTCCCAGTCGCAGTTGCAGCTGGCCTCTCCACTGCCCGGTCCTTCTCCTTACTCTGGACCGACTAGAGGTCTTGCGGAGCGTCGTGAGCCTGAGTCTCGTCCTGTGTCGCCTGCATCGCGTTCTACGTCGCCTGTCCGTACTGTTCGCGCTGGTCGTGTTTCGCGTCCGCGTCTCCCTCCTGTCCCAGGCACTCACTCTATGACACTGCGTCCTTCTACTGCTCCACAGCGTGTCCCTCTGCCGTCTCCTCCTGCGTCCTCTCTTCCTGACGGTCTGGACCCGGAGTCTGACTCCCTTCGTGCTGCTAGTCCTACTGTCACGCGCTTTCTGGCCACTGCTGTCACTGAACCTCTGTTTGAGTCCTCTACTGCGTCTGCTCTTGTTGCTGAGCTTGTTGACTTTGCTGCAGCCTGTCGCCTAGACTACGCCACTAGTTTTGTTGCTGAGTCTGCGTCTGTGTCTGTCTGTCCTCCGTCCGTTGGGGGTGAGTGTGCTCTTGGCACGGACGTTCTTGAGGACAGACAGGAGGAGTTTGAGTGCTTTGCTGCTTCTGTACCTCATCTCGTGTCCATGCTGCTGACCCCTGAGGGAGACTCGGATGCACTAGAGATCCCGACCCTGCGCTCTTACGCAGAGGCGATAGAGGGTCCCTACTCCTCTCAGTGGCAGGCAGCCATGGACGCAGAGATGGCTTCCTGGAAGTCCACAGGCACCTACGTAGACGAGGTTCCCCCACCTGGGGCGAACATCGTCAGTGGCATGTGGATCTTCAGGGTGAAGCGGCCGCCGGGCTCTCCGCCTGCCTTCAAGGCGCGTTACGTTGCACGTGGCTTCAGTCAGCGACAGGGAGTTGACTTCTTTCAGACCTTCTCCCCTACCCCGAAGATGACCACTCTTCGGGTACTGCTGCACGTTGCTGCTCAGCGTGACTACGAGCTCCACTCGCTTGACTTCAACACAGCCTTCCTACAGGGCAGCCTGCACGAGGAGATCTGGCTGCGCCGCCCACCTGGCTTCACTGGGTCGTTTCCTGCTGGTACCCAGTGGAGCCTCCGGCGGCCAGTCTACGGTCTCCGCCAGGCACCCCGTGAGTGGCACGACACACTCAGGACGACTCTTGCTTCTCTTGGTTTTACTCCTTCCACTGCTGACCCTTCTCTGTTTCTACGCACTGACACTACTCTGCCGCCGTTCTACGTTCTTGTGTACGTAGACGACCTCGTCTTTGCTACTGCTGACACTGAGGCACTCGCCCACGTGAAGTCTGAACTGCAGAAGAGACACACGTGCACAGACCTGGGTGAGCTGACAAGCTATCTTGGCTTGCGGATCACCCGGGACAGAGCACAGCGCACCATTATCTTGACTCAGTCACACATGGTGCAGCAGGTCCTTCAGCGCTTCGGCTTCACGTACTCCTCGCCACAGTCCACTCCTCTGCCTACCGGTCACTCGCTCTCAGCTCCACCTTCGGACGAGTCCGTAGAGCCAAGTGGCCCGTATCTAGAGCTTGTGGGCTGCCTCATGTACCTGATGACTTGCACACGACCTGACCTCGCATACCCTCTCAGCCTTCTGGCTCGCTACGTGGCTCCCGGCAGGCACCGAAAGGTGCACTGGGATGCTGCGAAGAGGGTGTTGCGATACTTGTGCAGTACATCGGGCATGGGGCTCGTGCTTGGAGGACGGGCTCGAGTTGTCCTCACTGGTCACGCTGACGCCTCCTGGGTTGACGACTTGGCTACGCAGCGGTCGTCACAGGGTTACACCTTCAGTCTTGGCTCCGGTTCTGTCTCTTGGCGGTCTACCCGCTCTTCTTCTGTTCTCAGCTCCAGTTGTGAGGCTGAGATCTACGCTGGGGCCATGGCTGCACAGGAGCTACGCTGGCTCACCTACCTGCTGACCGACTTGGGAGAGGCGCCTCGTTCTCCTCCAGTTCTGTACGTCGACAACAAGGCCATGCTGGCCTTGTGTCAGGAGCACAGACTGGAGCACAGAACGAAGCACATTGCTCTGCGCTACTTCCTTGCTCGAGAGTTGCAGCAGCGTGGCCAGCTTCGTCTTGCTTACGTGGCCTCTCAGGCCAACACTGCTGATGTTTTCACCAAGGCACTTCAGCCTTGTGATCATCAGCGTTTCTGTACTGTGTTAGGCCTTGTACCTACTGTGCCTCACTTGCTTTCTTCTTGACTCTGCTTGTACTGTAGTCTTTATACATATACCTGCATGCTTACACTTGCTAGGTTGTGTTCACTGTATTGTTTGTTCTCCTTTATATAACTCTGCATGTGAACTGGCCTTGTGGCCATTTGCTTGTGCTCAGACTGCGTGGTGACTTTGTGATCCACCCTGAGCTTGCTTTGCCTTTCTTGACTGGTCTTGTGACCTCTTGTTCTCCCCCACTTTGCCTATGGGGGTGTGTCAAACATATATGCTATAGTCTATTTAGGCTGTAGTGGGGTAGTTCTTACAGGGTACAACACTTTTAGGTTTCCCATATGTACCCACCTGCTTTCTAGTTCAGTCACTCATTCCTCTCATTATTCTCACATATATCTCTTCGTATTCCTTGTACTTTTATAAAAATCTTGTATCCCTTTGTTTAATCAATCTACTTTGCCCTCACATGCTAGCGCAAGGTGGTTCATAAGTCTTTATTTAACGCTTCTGCTATTACATTGTTCTACTCTGAATTTACCGTAATCACCCGGACATAACACCCTAGGGTCTTACTTTAAATACAGCAAAAAAATGGGGGGGGTCTTCTCATAGGAAAAAGCTACATACCACCCGGGTGCATATATATGACATTTTTTTAGTGTAAGGGTTTCTATAAATAGGCAGCTTGGGTGTTTTCAAGGTTGGTTTAGCATCACAGTTGGAAGCGAGATTGTCAGTTTCGACGACAACATTGACTCCTTGAAGTTGCGAGGTGGCACCTCTTTGGCCACTTGATAGCGAAAGAACTACCAGCGTGGCAACAGTGAAAAAGTGGGACGGAGGTGACCCCAGCAGATACTTTCGAAATTACCATGTAATTTCGTGCAAAAAGTGATCGTCGCGATGTCCCCCCGTCATTGCACATACTCGTTAACACCTAAAATAAGGCATTCTGTGTAAAAAAGGGGGTGTTATAAAAAATCACCCCAAAAGGGGGGGTATAGTACAAACGGGGTCAACTATAACACCCACCCCGCACAAGCCACCCGGGGGGTCTACAATTTCGGCGGGTGGTATGTCCGGGTGATTACGGTAGTCCTGCAAAGATCCTAAGGGGTTTTTCAGCCCAACATTATTAACTTATCTTGTTCTCACATACCAGTGCAAGGTGGTTCAAGTTAATACTATTATTACGCTTCCGCAACTACAACATCTCTATTTCAACTGATCTTAGCCTTGAAAGATCCTAAGGGCTATTTCTCAGCCCAACAGAACGCCAACCTTGGTGAATGTCGAGAGGAAGGACAGGTGCGAGTTCGCCAAACAAAAGAGGAGTGTTAGAAGAATGAACGAGAATGAATGAACTATGAAAGAGTTGGGTACAAGTACTAACCCTAATTGGGTTGTACCTCTTATGGGCTACCCCACTACAGCCTACACAATGTAAGCACTACAACATTTTGACAAGGGGTTGACTAAGAAAGGACAGTACAAGATATAGCAAGGAGAAGCATGGTGCACCACCTACAGCAAATGAAATGTATTACATTTTACACTGCAGACAATTATAAAGAATATATATGAATATATTTCAACAGACGGGAATGCAAGCCCCCTGCTCCTTAGAGGCTGGCAGAATCGCCTCCCCTACTTTGTTTGGATCCTTGTTCAAACACATGAAAGAATCATTTACAGGTTTCTTTGAGACTATGGAAGCTCACAACTTCTTTGAGCAGCAGCGGAGGCAGTAGCAGCCCAGGCAGCACTGTGACACCGGATCCATCCTATTGTTCCTTGCTGTTCTGCAGTTGAGACGCATTATCATCACCATCAGCGTCGGCAGCAGCAGCAGGAGCCAAGCTCGCTTTGTACGTGACGTAGATGGTCCAGAAGAAAGCAGCAGTGTTGCTGGTTAATACCTGTGCAAACAATAAGTGGCAAAACCGATGACAGATGTTCAGGCATGCACACGGGGAAGAAGAAGGGCAGGGCATGGCATATGGCATGGCATGGAATGGCATGGCATGGCATAACATGACATGTGTGATGCCACAATATTATGTACTTATAGCACCGGAAAGCAGAGATGTTAGAAGCACAGAGAAATATAAGGACAAAAAGATGTCTCAGAAGCACAAAAACGTGTCCAAAAGACGCGTTTCTGCAGCGCCACCTCTGCACATTGCTGTCATCTCAGCCTTTTTTTTCCATAGATTCAACAACCCACCCGTAGCCTCACACTGATCCGTGGGACTGTGTTTATAGTTTCGGTTCCGGATTTACAAAGTGACTCTCAGCAACCTGAAGCCTTAAGAAGACAACTTACAAGCTTTCACTTTCAGGTCTAAGAATTGAGTCTCACCCACCTGCAGTCTCACGGGGACGTATCGGAACGTGATGAAGTCACAGACAGGCCAGTAGCAGGCACCGCTGATGAGCGTTGGTAGCAGGTCTCGTCTCAGGCGAGCAACTATCTGCTCCTTGTTTTCACCTGCAATGCAAGGCATGGGAGGAGAGGAGCAAGAAACGCGTACGAAGAAGTCAGAAATATCCACCACTGATGAGCGTCGTTAAACCGAGAAGAACAGTGAGTGCGTGATCCAAGAAACAGCCCCTCGTCCCCTCAGCTTGCAGAGCAGCGTTGATTGAGAAGATCACGGAGTTAAACAAAGTGCCATACAGCAGCTGCCCCATTTTTTGGGACGACCTTAGAAACAGTCCCTCGTCCCCTCACCTTGCAGAGCAGCGTTGATTGAGAAGAACACGGAGTTAAACACAGGGCCGTACAGCAGCTGCCCCAGTTTTGAGACGACCTTAGACACAGCCCCTCGTTCCCTCACCTTGCAGAGCAGCGTTGATTGAGAAGAACACGGAGTTGAAGACAGGGCCGTACAGAAGCTGTCCCATGGCTATCTTGAGCAGCACACGAGGCACGTCCGTCCCTGGGATGAACCTGGCGATGCGCGTGAACCACAAGTGAAGAGTCGGCCCGGATAGCAAGAGACCCGCGCCCGCCATCCGCGCTGTGCGGAACGCGTCCCACTGCATTTGCTGACGTGGCGGTTGGTCTGGGTTGTCGTGTAGTGGCGACGTGGCGGGTGGGTCAAGGATGGAGTGAGAGAGCTTCTGCAGAGAGGAAGAAGGGAGGAGGAGGGGAGAAAAGAGGTGAAGGGAGTAGAAAGGATGAGAAATATGGGAAAAAAATGAGAAGTAATGGTTGGGTAACCTGGTACAATCGATAACAAGACCTGCCTGTTGGCAATCACTTGAAAGGCTAGGCTGCCCGGTGATTGATAGATATTCCAGAAGAAGCAACCGAAACTGAGAGGTATCAAACCCTTGTAAATAGGAGAAACGAGGATGGAACAAGAATGAAGAGTGAGAAGTAGAAGAATCCGACATACGTGCCTGCGATGTGACGTCAGCAGCACCGAATATGATCGCTGCGGTGATGCTCTTAGTGATTACGGGCCGGGAGTCGAGGCATTTCAGGTACCACTGCACGAACCCGTTCACCCGCGAATGACTCTCCGATCCATTAATCCGTTCCGTGATCTGCTCTAAGCCGATCTGCGGCTGCGACGCGGATTTACTACTCGAGTTGATCCGTCTTACAAACCCGTTCAGGAATGACGAACTCCCGTCTTTTAGTGGTAAGCCTGATTGTGGCGATGGCAACGGTAGGCTACACCGTTGATTGCTGGTGGAGGAGTAGATCTGTTTCACGCTCGTCAATCGTAGCACTACGGAGCCTGCTTGGAGTGACTGAATGATCCGTTCTCTACAGCTGCGAAGCGCCATTGATTATATTATTCTGTTGAGAAAAGGAGTTATCCGAGGCTAACGGTAACCAGGTCGACGGGACGCGATCACGACCAAAGTGTGTTGATGTTGGGTCGCAGACTCAGGGCGACGGAAAAACTCGCAACAATAGCAACGCGTTTCTAAATCCACGAGCAAGATCAGAGCGCGTTCTCTCACTAGCCTACCCTTCACAGCGACAACGAGTTTTAGCTGGAGCTAAAAAATAAAATGGCAGGTGGCACGAGCACCAAAGCTCGAGATACACAAGCAGCAAAGGCACGCCTGGGAGGCGAAGGGAGCAAACCTCAAGAATCGAGATTACCATGGTGGCTGACCGACCGAGCCGCGAGTTCACGACGAACTGACACCAGTAATTTTCCGTCCATCGACTCAAACCTTTTCGTCTTGTGAGAAACCGCGGCGATTGTGCCACATCAGCTCTCAGAGTCGACCGTCCATCCCAGATTCCCGCTTTGGTGACCGACGAGGCGGTACCACACTGAACCCCACTGCAATGCAGAGGACCGAACGTATGGTGCTTTGTCCAACCAGTTTGTTCTTCGCCAAAGAGATTTCGCTAAATGTTGAGGGGAGTTGATGCCATTCTGGAAGGTCCACTGAAAATTTGCAAGACATCCATAAGAAAGGAAGTTCGCATCCTTTTCTTTGAACAGTTTTGGTTGCAGGAGACATTACATCCATGGTATACAAACCCCATTACAGTTGCTCCCAAGTCCCATGAATTCGGCCATTCACCTCAAGAGTCTCAGCTTAATAAAGTGAACCGAGGCTATCCTTCTGCTTCAAAGAACTCATCTTCCTCCTCATCCTCAGCAGCACCCCCCTCACTGCTTCCCACCCCACCAGCAGCTCCTCCTGCCCCTCCAGATGAGTTTACCCCATCCTGACGCCCTTCAATCACGCCTTCACCTCCTCCCGGCACATTCCCCTTCTCTTTCGCAGCAGCAGCAGCTGCCGCCGTAACAAATCCCACATTGTTGATAACGTACTGCCCGATTGCCCCTCGGGTAGTTACAGCAGCAGCATTTGTTGGCACGGTCACTTGCTGGTCCAGGCCGACATAGCAGTCAGAGATGAGATGGACAGACAGCTGGAGGAGGGTGGACGAGGGAAAGAGGTGAAAGGGTAGCAATGCAATTCCTAATGCCCTTGACATTCGTCACACTTGGAACGACTTGCTGGAAGCTATGTCGACAGCAACACCCAAACTTAAAGAGCACGAGGAAAAGAAGAAGACGAAAAAACACAGATGATGTGAACATTTGAGACAGCATGAGTATGAGATGCAATGGTAGCAGTGCAAAGAGCCACCTATATCACCAACAACGTATATTAGAGACACAGGCACACACCTGCTTCACCGGCGACAGCAGCTCGGGCACATGCAGGCGAGTGGTGAGTCGGTGAGTGAAGGAGACACGCTTGAGGGCAAGCAGAGTGGGGGAGTCTGCTGCTGCTACCACCACCCACCACCCCTCCTCCTTCACCTGGAGGGCGGAGAGTACAGTGTATGCACAATAGGAAGAGCATGCTATTTCAGCAAAAAAAAATTGGTTTGTTTGTTAGTTGTTTTTCATGGCTTCATGCATGCAGAAAATGACCTTCTGGATTGCAGACTAGTGACGAGAACATCACAAGCGAGCGAGTGAGTGGGTGAGTGAGTAAACAAGTGATGGTAGAGTGAGTGAGTGGGTGAGCAGGTGATGGTAGAGTAAGCGAGTGAGTAGGCAAGTGATGGTAGAGTATTTTAAGCACTTGTTTTGAGAAATTTGAAAATCTTGCAGATTTGCTTAAACACACCTTGGGGAAGAATGGTGTGTAGGCACGCAGAGAGTGTGGCTGGTGCGGCCGCGAGCGACGGAGTGACACCTCTACCACCACTGGTGCTGTTCCTGCTGCTGCGGACTTCGCAGGTGTCTTCTCCCCATCAGCTGTGCCAGAGGGGAGCACTCTTACTGACATGGACACTCGCGGCAGCATCCCCAGAGCCTGGGAGAAACAAAGGGAGGGAGGGGAGGTACGAGCATGGCTTTTGAGACGTCTCAAAAGGAGGAATTGGGTGTCTTCCCCCCATCAGCTGTGCCAGAGGGGAGCACTCTTACTGACATGGACACTCGCGGCAGCATCCCCAGAGCCTGGGAGAAACAAAGGGAGGGAGGGGAGGTACGAGCACGGCTTTTGAGACGTCTCAAAAGGAGGAATTGGGTGTCTTCCCCCCATCAGCTGTGCCAGAGGGGAGCACTCTTACTGACATGGACACTCGCGGCAGCATCCCCAGAGCCTGGGAGAAACAAAGGGAGGGAGGGGAGGTACGAGCACGGCTTTTGAGACGTCTCAAAAGGAGGAATTGGGTGTCTTCCCCCCATCAGCTGTGCCAGAGGGGAGCACTCTTACTGACATGGACACTCGCGGCAGCATCCCCAGAGCCTGGGAGAAACAAAGGGAGGGAGGGGAGGTACGAGCACGGCTTTTGAGACGTCTCAAAAGGAGGAATTGGGTGTCTTCCCCCCATCAGCTGTGCCAGAGGGGAGCACTCTTACTGACATGGACACTCGCGGCAGCATCCCCAGAGCCTGGGAGAAACAAAGGGAGGGAGGGGAGGTACGAGCACGGCTTTTGAGACGTCTCAAAAGGAGGAATTGGGTGTCTTCCCCCCATCAGCTGTGCCAGAGGGGAGCACTCTTACTGACATGGACACTCGCGGCAGCATCCCCAGAGCCTGGGAGAAACAAAGGGAGGGAGGGGAGGTACGAGCACGGCTTTTGAGACGTCTCAAAAGGAGGAATTGGGTGTCTTCCCCCCATCAGCTGTGCCAGAGGGGAGCACTCTTACTGACATGGACACTCGCGGCAGCATCCCCAGAGCCTGGGAGAAACAAAGGGAGGGAGGGGAGGTACGAGCACGGCTTTTGAGACGTCTCAAAAGGAGGAATTGGGTGTCTTCCCCCCATCAGCTGTGCCAGAGGGGAGCACTCTTACTGACATGGACACTCGCGGCAGCATCCCCAGAGCCTGGGAGAAACAAAGGGAGGGAGGGGAGGTACGAGCACGGCTTTTGAGACGTCTCAAAAGGAGGAATTGGGTGTCTTCCCCCCATCAGCTGTGCCAGAGGGGAGCACTCTTACTGACATGGACACTCGCGGCAGCATCCCCAGAGCCTGGGAGAAACAAAGGGAGGGAGGGGAGGTACGAGCACGGCTTTTGAGACGTCTCAAAAGGAGGAATTGGGTGTCTTCCCCCCATCAGCTGTGCCAGAGGGGAGCACTCTTACTGACATGGACACTCGCGGCAGCATCCCCAGAGCCTGGGAGAAACAAAGGGAGGGAGGGGAGGTACGAGCACGGCTTTTGAGACGTCTCAAAAGGAGGAATTGGGTGTCTTCCCCCCATCAGCTGTGCCAGAGGGGAGCACTCTTACTGACATGGACACTCGCGGCAGCATCCCCAGAGCCTGGGAGAAACAAAGGGAGGGAGGGGAGGTACAAGCACGGCTTTTGAGACGTCTCAAAAGGAGGAATTGGGTGTCTTCCCCCCATCAGCTGTGCCAGAGGGGAGCACTCTTACTGACATGGACACTCGCGGCAGCATCCCCAGAGCCTGGGAGAAACAAAGGGAGGGAGGGGAGGTACGAGCACGGCTTTTGAGACGTCTCAAAAGGAGGAATTGGGTGTCTTCCCCCCATCAGCTGTGCCAGAGGGGAGCACTCTTACTGACATGGACACTCGCGGCAGCATCCCCAGAGCCTGGGAGAAACAAAGGGAGGGGGGAGGTACGAGCACGGCTTTTGAGACGTCTCAAAAGGAGGAATTGGGTGTCTTCCCCCCATCAGCCGTGCCAGAGGGGAGCACTCGCACTGACATGGACACTCGCGACAGCATCCCCAGAGCCTGGGGATACAAGGGCAAGGGGGTTAGAGGAGAGGGGGGGACAAGAGAGAGAAGGAGAAAGAGTGCGGGTTGGGGAGGGAAGGAAGAGACAAAAGAAGGGAGGGAAGGTAGGGGCAGTGGGAGTAGAAGAGGGGAGGGCAAAAGAAGTGAGAAATTGCTGAGGTGTAAGACAAAGCGAATACCAAGAAACCAACGGCATAAAATAAAATAAAAGAAGAGATCAAGCTAGAGGGAGGGAAAACAGCACTTCAAGTAAGTCAGTACAAACAACGCATTCGATGATTTGAAGCATTCTGTATTAGCAGCTGCAGATGGAAAAGCAGATGCAGGTGAGTGAGAGACGCTTTGAGAGTCGACTGTAGAAGTTGTGCGTGAGAGGTTCTTGCTAATATACGTGCTGCTAACGGGGTGAACGCTGTGAGGTGTATTTTGAGGCGCCTCAAAATACACCTCTCTGTGAGAGGTCAGCCATAGAAGCTTTGTTTAGGCGTCTCAAAACTCAAAATACACCTCACTGTGAGAGGTCAGCCATAGAAGCTTTGTTTAGGCGTCTCAAAACTCAAAATACACCTCACTGTGAGAGGTCAGCCATAGAAGCTTTGTTTAGGCGTCTCAAAACTCAAAATACACCTCACTGTGAGAGGTTCTTGCTAATGTACGTGCCACTAATGGGGTGAACGCTTTTACATCGACTAAAAAAACGTCCAGGCAACCATCATTAGCATGTACAACCAGTAACCAACCAGGGGGCAAGAGGAGCAAGGAGGGCAGCTAGAGGATAGAGCTCTGTTTTAATGCGTTTCAATGTCTGGTGCCAATGCATCATAGAAGAACTCAATATCTGATGCTAACGCGTTTCAACTTCAAGCATACCTGAAGGAAATCAGCACGAGCGGCAGGCGAGAGGTGGGAGGCGAGGAGCTGGCATAGGTTATGTGGCGAGTATTGAGTCAATGTGAGTATGGTGGGGAGTACTCACGAGTCACTCTTTTGCATACCTGAAGGAAGTCAGCTCGGGCAGCAGGCGAGAGGTGGGAGGAGAGGAGCTGGCGGAGGTGATGTGGTGAGGCTGACAGCAGGGTGGATAGCGATGCCAGCCTGGCAGCTGACAGGGCATCCTCCAATGAGGGCGTGACATGTGGCAGCATGGCTATGGGCGAGCCAAGGTCGCACCAGACAGCCTGCGGGAGGGAGGAAAGGGAAGTAAGGGGAGGTAAGGGGAGGTGCCTTTGGGTGAGGGGAATGAAGGACCATTTGGGTGAGGCGCATGGTGAGCAGAGACAGCGGGATGTATTGTCTTTTGAGTCGACCCAGAAGCCACCTGGACTACCAGTCGCATCCCACCCACCTGGACTCATCATCGGCATGATCGTTGCATCCCACGCACCTGAATGACCATCTGTGTGAGGCGCATGGTCAATACGCCTCACAGAGCAGGCTGTATTGACTTTTGAGTCACCAAGTCAATACACCTCATGGAGACTCAAAAGGTGACTCAAAAGTCCCCGCGTAGGAAGAAGTGAGCCGTGCACCAGGCACTCTCCCTTATTTGTAATCATCTGCACCACGTCCCACCCACCTGAATGACCGTCTGTGTGAGGCGCGTGGTGAGCAGAGCAGGCTGCATTGACTTTTGAGTCACCTGGTCAATACGCCTCACGGAGACCACCTCTGGGCCATCATTCGCACCATCATTGGAATCACAATCATCTGTACCGCATCTCACCCACCCGAATGACCATCTGTGTGAGGCGCATGATGAGCACAGCTGGCTGTAGCCGACCGGCTGTAGCAGCGGTGTCAATCATGGCCTGTAGCACTCGCATGGTCATTAGAGTCATAAACATCTGCCTCCCACCCACCTGAATGACCATCTGTGTGAGGCGCATGGTGAGCAGGGAAGGCTGTAGCCAACCGGCTGTAGCAGCGGTATCAATCATGGCCTGTAGCACTCGCATGGTCTGATCCAACACACTTTTGAGATCTGTCTCGTAGTCACTCATTGGCATGGCCAGGCGGGCGAAGTGAGCCTGAGGAGGAAGGAAGAAGAGGGGAGGGAGGAGCAAAGGTGCATAAAAGGGACAGAAACGGGGCCGGAGGGGACTTTTGAGACGTCTCAAAAGTCACAAAAGGGACAGAAACGGGGCCGGAGGGGACTTTTGAGACGTCTCAAAAGTCACAAAAGGGACAGAAACGGGGCCGGAGGGGAGCAAGTGAGGGAAGGGGGGGGCAGGAGAAAGGGGGGAGGGGGACACATGGTGAGCAGCAGCAGCAGCAGCAGCAGCAGCAGCAGCAGGGCCGGCTGTAGGCGGGTGGCTGTAGCGGCGGTATCAATCAGGGCCTGCAGCACCCGCATTGTCTGGTCCAGCATACTCTTCTGAGACGTCTCAAAAGACACTCCTGAGGTCCGTCTCATAGTCGCTCATTGGCATGGCCAGGCGGGCGAAGTGCGCCTGAGATGGGTGGAGAGGGAGGGGAGGAAAGCAAAGCACAACCCATGAAGGGGAGTCAACAGTGATAAAGGTGAGAGAACACACTCTTGAGGTCCGTCTCGTAGTCACTCATTGGCATTGCCAAGCGGGACCTGAGAGGGGGGGAGGGAAGGGAGGAAGCATCGGAAGGGAGACAAGAATGGGAGGTGGTAATGGGGGTGAAACAACACACTCTTCTTGAGGTCCGTCTCGTAGTCGCTCATTGGCATTGCCAGGCGGGCGAAGTGCGCCTGAGGGTGGGGTGGCGAGAGGGAGGGGAGGAAAGCACAGCCAAAGAAGGGGAGTCAAGTCACCAGTGATGCAGGTGCAAGGACACACTCTTGAGGTCCGTCTCGTAGTCGCTCATTGGCATGGCCAGGCGGGCGAAGTGCACCTGAGAGGGGTGGGGAGGGAAGGTAAGGAGGGGAAACCACGTGACAAGGCAAGGCATTCTTAAGATCCGTCTCGTAGTCAGATTAGGCATGAGGGCTAGATTTACCTAAAGGTGACATCAACCTGAAAGCTAGACTGACAGCTGATTTCATCTGGAGCAGCAGGCTAGTCTTGGTGTGCGCGATGGATTTTGAGAATACTATAATACACTTAGTAAAAGCTAGCTAGATTCATGGGGGTTAACTTAAGCTAAAGGATGAGCTCACCTGGAGCATCAGGTTGGTATAAATGTGCGTAAGTGTCAATGTGCCTAAGTGTCAATGTGCGTAAGTGTGAGCAATGGCCTTAGAGAATTGTGTTTTTTTTTTTTGTACAGGCTAGATTCAACTGAAGGTTGAGATAACCTGAGGGCTAAACTCATATGGAGCAGCAGATCCTGGTGTGTGCAGGCTGTCGTTCGTAGATGCGACCATCTGCAGCAGCAGCAGGCTAGTCTTGGTGTGCGATGGTCTTTTGAGACTTATGAAAAACAGATTGTGCAGGCTAACTACACTCATCCGAGGGTTGATCTCACCTGAGGGCTGTATTCACCTGGAGCAGCAGGTTGGTCTTGGTGTGTGGGTCGTCGTAGGTGCGATGGTCCACCTTCCACCGCACATGCTTTGCCAGCTCAGCATTCACAAACTCCTGTAAAGGGTGAGAGAAGAGAGGAATGGGAAGCGCAAGGAGCAGAGAAATGGGTAGAGTATCTAACGGGCAGCGAAACGAGGAAAGAAATAGTTGTGCTCTGCCCACACAACAGGTCCCAAAGGGAACCACGTCTGATAGCACGTCACTGCACTGAACCGCACATCACCCCTTTCAAATCTGAAGCTTATACTCACCTCATTATGCCTGACTGGCAGCTCGTCAAACTCTGCCGCCCCACACAACACATGCAGATTGTGACAATCTTCTTGGCACCTCAAAAACCGCACTGGACCGCACTGCACACCCCTCCACATGCCTTCCTCACCTCATTGTGCCTGACTGGCAGCTCGTCGAACTCTGCCGCACCACACAGCACATGCAGCACCGTCTCCAGGGTAATTGCCGCAGCAGCGGGCGGCGAAGTGAGGTTGGCGGTGAACAGTGCGGCGGTGGTGAAGTGCAGGTAGTACTGCGAGGCAATCAGGCCGGGCGGCAGAGGATCCACACTGCCGTCCTCTTGCAGGGCAACGCATCCGGCTGCATCCAGGTCGGATAGCGTGCGGCTGACGAGACTGCAGGAATGAGAGGGGATGAGTGGGAGTGAGCGGAGAATAAGAGGGGGAGAAGTGGGGAACGAATGGTGGAAACTTGAAAAATGAGCAAACGGTGCAAGGCTAGTAAGAAGCAGCAGAGGATCCGCACATCTATCCTCATGCACATCGATCCGCACACCTATCCTCATGCACATCGATCCGCACATCTATCCTCATGCACATCGATCCGCACATCTATCCTCATGCACATCTATCCTCATGGCACCACGATGCACACGGCAGCGTCCAAGTCGGAAAGAGTGCAGCTTTCGAGACTACAAGGGCGAGTGGGTTTTGGGAATGGAGGAAAGAAAAGGAGATTTGAGAGGTGTGAGAATGTGCAGCTGGTATGAAGAAACAAAGGATCCACGGTGCTGTCCTTGTGGAGTGCGATGCATCCGGCTGCATCCAGGTCGGATAGCATGCAGTTGACAAGACTGCAGGGAGGAGAAGGGATGAGTGAGGGATAAAAGTTGGGAATGAGTGGAGGATAAGTAGGGAATGGACAAGGTAAGGGCAAGCACGTGTCTCAGGTAAAAATTGGCAGTCCAGCCGGCAGCATCCATTCTCACCCAGCTGCGCTCCAGACCGATGCTCCTGGCAATTTTTGCTTGTCTCAGCAAACCGGCCCAGCTTGGAGGCAACATCGGCGGAGGACATGGGCTTGAAAGCCGCCAGCAGCAGCATCATTTCGTCCGCACTTCGATCTGCAGGACTCCTAATCGTGTGCATTCAGATATTCGTCGTCCATATCTGTCCATTCTGTGACAAACTCAGCGGGGTTCACTGAATCGTGCTAGGCCACCCACTCGGTAACATTCCAGCCAATGGACGTCCTCACTAAACCACTTATCAACTACATTTCATCATCAACCGTCCACTCTGTGATAAAATCACCAGACTTGACAGCGTTTCCAGCCAGCAGCAGCAGCTCGCCGCTCAAGCAAAGTGTAGCACATGAATTCGTAACAGAGGCTCTCAAATCTACCTCGTTTTGAATGGTCCATTCGGTAACAAAGTCAACGTAGATTACTGTAAGTTTTGCCAATACAAGGAGCTCACTACTCTCAGTGAGTGCAGCCGGTGCTGCTCTTAGCTTAGCTTCATCAGGAGCAATCCATTTGTGAATGCAATCAAAGGGTAGCTGGTTCACTTCATGGTAGTCCAACCATCCCCGTACGTCCCACGGGCACCTTGCTGCGTTTCCAAAGTATTTGGCAGCAGCAAGGTACCTGTGGGAGGTACAAAGCTGGTTGGATTGCAATGCAATGAACCAGCTACCATTCGATTGCATTTACAAATGGACTGCTATTGATGAAACTAAACCGAGAGCAGAACCGGCTGCACTCGCTGGGAGCGAGGAGCTCCTGCTATTGGCGAAACTTACAATAAGCTCCGCTAACTTTGTTACCAAATGGACGGCTCAAGACGAGGCGGATCTGAAAGCCCCTGTTACGAATCGCAGTGCTACACTTAGCGTGAGCGACGAGCTGCTGCTGGTGGCGGGGAATGCAGTAAACTCTGGTGATTTTATCACAGAGCGGACGGTTGAGGATAAAAGGTATTTGAGAAGTGGTTTAGTGAGGACATCCACTGGCTGGAGCATGGCCGAGTGGGTGGCCTAGCATGATTCCGTGAACCTCGCTGAGTTCGTCATAGAATGGACAGATGCAGATGACGAATATTTGAACGATCAAGCGACTAGAAATCCTGCAGACCGGAGTGCGGACGAAATGATGGTGCTGCTGGTGGCTCGCAAGCCCATGACCTCCTCCGATGTGGCCTTCAAGCTGGGCCGGTTTGGTGAGGCAAGCAAAAACCGTCGGGAGCATCGGTTTGGAGTGCGGCTGAGCGAGATGGTGCTGTCCTCATGCAGGGCGATGAAGCTGGCAGCATCCAGGTCGAATAGGTGCGGCTAACGAGACAGAAGGGAAGAGAAAGGATGAGCAGGGGTGGGGGATATATACAAAATGGACATGGACAAGGTAAGGGTGTGCTCCTGGTATGAAGCAGCAGATCACCCACACCACCGTTTGCATCCAGCATAATGAAAACACTCAAAAACCAATTTGTCGTTATCTTCATCTGCAGCACAGCTTGAAGGGACGTACAACAGTACGAGTTACTGAAGAGAGCTCTAAATGAATGGCATCAATGGTTTTTTAAAAGATTTTCCAAAACCAACCAGCAACGAGAAGGGATGCGCAGCAGAATCTTGGTGCAACTGATAGAAATTCCAAACGAATGACATAATTTTAAGTGATATACATAACAGAAACTTACTTTAAGAGGAAGAGGCTGGGCTCCGCGCACGTGTCAGAGAGGCCACAGTAGGAGGGGTTGCAGAGGAGACGCACCGAAAACTGGAGTTACTTTCGGATATTCTCAAACCCAGAAGCTACTCTGAGAGGAAGACACTGATGGACTCCGCGCTCGTGTCAGAGAGGCCGTAGCAGGAGGGGTTGCAGAAGAGGCGGCGGAAGAAGAAAGTCCCGTATGTTAGTCAACCAAAATGTACACAAGAGAACCTTACTCACTCTGAAAGAAACACATTCACAGACTCCGCACTGGTGTCAGAGAGGCCGTAGAAGGAGGGGTTGCAGAGGAGGCGGCGGAAGAAGAAGGTCCAGGTGAGGTAGTCCATGGCGTCCTGCACGCTGGCTATGCTGCCCCCCGCCACCTCCGCGTTCAGATGGTCGTGGAGGACCAAGTGGAGTGAGGACTCCACTGGGAATGGCTCGTATAGGAACTGTAAGCCAGGGGGGGATAGAGGGAGGTAATAGGGGGTGCATGTACAAGGTCTGATGGGCTTGGGTGGGTTGAGATGGTCGTGCAGCACGAGGTGCAGCGATGACTCCACTGGGAACGGCTCGTATAGGAACTGCAGTGTGGGGGGGGGGGAGTATCAGTGTGTGTAATTATGTGGGAGGTCAGATGGACTTGGGTGCATTCAGATGGTCGTACAGCACCAGGTGCAGCGATGACTCCACTGGGAACGGCTCGTATAGGAACTGAGGTGTGGGGGAGATGGCGGAGAAGTGGGGGGTGAGAAGTTGGAGAGCAGGTTTCTGTACAATGTTGGAAGGGCATGGGACTTTCGAGAATTCTCAAAAGTACCATCAACGTAGTTGGAGAGCAGGTTCATGTACAATGTTGGAAGGGCATGGGAAGGTTCAAAAACAACATCGTGCAGCACCAGGTGCAGCGAGGATGAGGACTCCACTGGGAATGGCTTGTATAGGAACTGCAGTGGGACGGAACGTTGGAAGGGCATGCGTGGTGGTTGGGTGTATGAACAACTTTGGGCAGCGCAAGGGGGTTTGTGAACGATGTCGGAAGGGCACGGCGGGTTCATGAGGTTTTTCTTCCTCCTCTGCACCACTCCTCTCTCCCCCCCCTCTCTCACCTTCTTGTGAAAGCTCTTTTTGGGCTCGTGCATGAGAATGACCGCCTTGGCTTCGTTGTCGAATTGCGGCCGCCCCGCATGCCCCATCATCTGCAGCACGTCCGTGATTAGCATCTCCACGTACCGCTTCTGCTCTGCTCCACCCAACTTCCCCCCCTCTCCTCTCTTATCTTCTTATACTAGCCCTGCTTGTGGTCGTGCCCTCTCAGCACACCACATCTGCAGTTACTCCCTCCCACCTGCCTCCCTCTCACCTTCTTATAGAAGCTCTTCTTGGGCTCATGTACGAGGATCACCGCTTTAGCTTCGTTGTCGAATTGCGGCCGCCCCGCGCGCCCCATCATCTGCAGCACGTCTGTGATGGGCATCTCCACATACCGCTTCTGCTTCCCATCGAAGTACTCTGTTCCCTTCACCACCACTAGGTGGGCTGGCAGGTTCACACCCCATGCTAATGTGGACGTACATACTAGCACCTGGGAAGAATGAGGCAGGGGCAGGGGATGACAAGGGAGGTGAGGGACGAGGGGGTAGCAGCAGGGCATGTCTGTGATGGGCATCTCCACGAACCACTTCTGCTTCCCCTCAAAGTACTCTGTTCCCTTCACCACCACTAGATGGGCTGGCAGGTTCACGCCCCAAGCCAGTGTGGATGTGCACATGGGCACCTGGACGTAAGGGGAGGGGAAGGGAGGTGAGAGGAAGGGGCAGGCAGGAGAGGGGAAGGATAAGGGGTTTAGCAGCAGAGCACGTCTGTGATGGGCATCTCCACATACCGCTTCTGCTTCCCATCGAAGTACTCTGTGCCCTTCACCACCACTAGATGGGCTGGCAGGTTCACACCCCATGCCAGGGTAGACGTGCAGACGAGCACCTGGGAGGGGGGTGAGGAAGAGGCAGGTAGGGGTGAGAAGAAGCACGTCTGTGATGGGCATCTCCACATACCGCTTCTGCTTCCCATCGAAACACTCCGTTCCCTTCACCACCACCAGGTGGGCTGGCAGGTTCACGCCCCATGCCAGAGTTGATGTGCACACGAGCACCTGGAGAGGCAAGAGAATGTGAAAGGAGAAGAGGAAGAAAAGCAGCAGCGGATGCAAGAGAGAGGGGAATGCAGAGAGGCAGGAATGGCAAGGGAGGTGAGGGATGAGGGGGTTGCAGCACAGCACATCCGTGATTGGCATCTCCACATACCACTTTTGCAAGGAAGAGAGAGGGTTGGGATAGCGGCAGGCGGTGCAGTGAGGAAGGGGATGGGTGCGTGAAGAGGAAGGGGAAGGAGAAGATGGGCTCCAACGAGGAGGGTAAAGACGGTGGAAGCCCATTGTTTCATGGCCAGAAGATGAAAGGGTTTGAAAGCGAGAGTAGTGGAGGGTGAGGTTGGAAAACTACTTCGCGACTCGCTCTCAAACCCTTTCATCTTCTGCCTATGATGGGTGAAACTACTTCATCTTGTTTTACCCTGAAAATCACCGTCCCCTTTTCCTCCACCACCACCTCTCTCCTTTTTCGGCTCTTTGCTTTCCTCTTCCCTTGCTCTCTCGCCCTCTGCGCATCCCTATCCCCACTCAATTCGCCACCTTCCACTCCAAACATCCTCACACCCCCTGCACCAACTGCCTCCACTTGTTCTGTCTACCCGCACCAAGTGGTCGGTTACCACCACACAGTTAACAACACACGATCAGCACTAAATCACCTGAATCTTCCTCTCAGCAAAGAGTGTCTCCACGAGCGACTGGTCCCCCTGGGTGATGCCAGCGTGGTGCAGCCCGATGCCTAACTGCAGCGCGTGCTTCAGCCGTACCTCACTCACATGGTCACTCACATGGTCACTCACATGGTTACCACACAGTTACCACATGGTTACCACACAGTTACCACATGGTTACCACACAATTACCTGGATCTTCCTCTCGGCAAAGAGTGTCTCCACGAGCGACCTATCCCCCTGAGTGAGCCCAGCGTGGTGCAGCCCGATGCCAAACTGCAGCGTGTGCTTCAGCCAGCCCTACCCCACTCTCACGCCACTGCCACATGGTTACCATGCGGTTACTACACAGCTACCTGGATCGTCCTCTCGGCAAAGAGGGATTCGACGAGCGAACGGTCCCCCTGAGTGAGCCCAGCATGGTGCAGCCCGATGCCAAACTGCAGCGTGTGTGTTTCAGCCGTAACTCATTCTAATGCCACTGCCACACACTCGGTTATCACAGGGTTACCATGTTACCATGTTACCATGTTACCATGTTACCATGTTACCATGTTACCATGTTACCATGTTACCATGTTACCATGTTACCATGGTACCATGGTACCATGTTACCATGTTACCATGTTACCATGTTACCATGTTACCATGTGGTCACACAAGAGACAGCAGAAGATAGATACCTGGATCTTCCTCTCAGCAAAGAGTGTCTCCACCAACGAACGGTCCCCCTGAGTGAGCCCAGCGTGGTGCAGCCCGATGCCAAACTGCAGCGTGTGCTTCAGCTCTGCCGACGATGCCATCGCCACATGCGCCTCCATCTCCTCCTCACTCGCATGCACAAACTGCTGCGGCCGCTCGTCTGCTGCTGCGTACTGATTGGGGCAAGGGCAGGCAGGGTCAGGTAGGGAAGAAGACACAGAGGCGAGGTTTAGAGAAACATTCCTCCTACACTGAATCTGACCAGAGAACCAGATGCAGCAGTAATCGTAAAAGCATAATGCCATTGCCACGTGTGCCTCCATCTCCTCCTCACTCGCATGCACAAACTGCCGCGGCCGCTCGTCCGCTGCTGCGTACTGACCATGGCAATAAGGGGAGACAGGCATGGGGAAAAGAGAAAAAGGCTGAAGAGCGAAAGGAAGAAACAGGGAAGCATGATCAATTTCATCCACCATCCACTTCCACCCATCCTCTGCGCATCTTTTCTTCTCCAAATTTCCGTTTAGCCTCACCTGAATTAGATGAAGTGCAGTGAGCCGGGTCTGCCTTCGCGACGATACAAACACAAGCACAGGCTTGACAGGCGAGTGCGAGAGGATGGCGGCAGAGAGCGACTTGTTCATGGCGTTCATGCGCAGGCAGTAGAACCTAGCAGAGCTTTCCCAGCCCAGCTGGCTTTGGAAACAATCTCAAAGAAACACTCACTTGAATGAGATCGAGCGCTGTCAGCCGGGTCTGGCGCCTTGAGGAGACAAACACGAGCACCGGCTTGACGGGCGAGTGGGTGAGAATGGCGGCATAGAGCGGCTTGTTCATGGCGTTCATGCGCGGGCAGTAGAACTTGGTAGACCTTTCCCAGCTGGCCGTGGTAACAACCTTCTTGAAGTAACACTCACTTGAATGAGATCGAGCGCTGTCAGCCGGGTCTGGCGCCTTGAGGAGACGAACACGAGCACGGGCTTGACGGGTGAGTGCGTGAGAATGGCGGCGTAGAGCGGCTTATTCATGGCGTTCATGCGCGGGCAGTAGAACTTGCCCGGGTAGCCCTGGATGTGCACGTCAAGCGGCACGGGGCGCACGCTGGGCTTGAAGTTGAAGAGACCGACTTTCTCAATTCCTAGCCAGTCAGCCAGGTCCCTGAGGGGGAGGGAGGCAAGGGAAAAAGGAAGAGAGAAGGTGAAAAGGGATGAGAAAGGGAAGTCATGGTGCCCTGGATGTGCACGTCCAGCGGCACGGGTCGCACGCTGGACTTGAAGTTGAAGAGACCGACTCTCTAAATCCCCAGCCAGTCAGCTAAGTCCCTGGGAGGAGGAGGGACAGAGGGGAGAGAATGAGGGGTGTAGCCCTAGATGTGCACGTCTAGTGGCACGGGACGCACGCTGGGCTTGAAGTTGAAGAGGCCGACTTTCTATATCCCCAGCCAGTCAGCCAGGTCCCTGGGTGGTGGGAGGCGAGGGAACAAAGAAGATAGAAGAAAGGGGCAGGGAGAAGAGAAGGTAAAAAAGGATGAGACTGGGGAGTAGCCCTGTATGTGCACGTCTAACAGCATGGGGAGAACACTGGGCTTGAAGTTGAAGAGACCGACTCTCTCAATCCTAAGCCAATCCGCCAGGTCCCTGAGGGGGAGAAGGGACAGAGGGGAGAGAATGAGGGGTAGCCCTGGATGTGCACATCTAGCGGCACGGGGCGCACGCTGGGCTTGAAGTTGAACAGACCCACTCTCTCTATGCCCAGCCAATCCGCCAGGTCCCTAGGGGGAGGGAGGTGAGGGAATGAGGAAGAGAGAAGAGAGGCGAGAAGAGATTCAAGGGTCAGAATAAAAGTTGCAGGTGTGAACGTAGAGAGGGCTGCCTCACATACGCATGGACAAGCACATGGACTCCATCTGGTGCCCCAAACGAGAAGCATGTATCACGGATCTCACCTGCTCCTACCTAGCGGCCACCTGCCCCCTTGCGGCCATCTCACGAGACCCTAAAAACAAACAGGCACCGCACCTGGACTCAGCTTTGAGACGTCTCAAAACTAAAAACAAACAGGCACCGCACCTGGACTCAGCTTTGAGACGTCTCAAAACTAAAAACAAACAGGCACCGCACCTGGACTCAGCTTTGAGACGTCTCAAAACTAAAAACAAACAGGCACCGCACCTGGACTCAGCTTTGAGACGTCTCAAAACTAAAAACAAACAGGCACCGCACCTGGACTCAGCTTTGAGACGTCTCAAAACTAAAAACAAACAGGCACCGCACCTGGACTCAGCTTTGAGACGTCTCAAAACTAAAAACAAACAGGCACCGCACCTGGACTCAGCTTTGAGACGTCTCAAAACTAAAAACAAACAGGCACCGCACCTGGACTCAGCTTTGAGACGTCTCAAAACTAAAAACAAACAGGCACCGCACCTGGACTCAGCTTTGAGACGTCTCAAAACTAAAAACAAACAGGCACCGCACCTGGACTCAGCTTTGAGACGTCTCAAAACTAAAAACAAACAGGCACCGCACCTGGACTCAGCTTTGAGACGTCTCAAAACTAAAAACAAACAGGCACCGCACCTGGACTCAGCTTTGAGACGTCTCAAAACTAAAAACAAACAGGCACCGCACCTGGACTCAGCTTTGAGACGTCTCAAAACTAAAAACAAACAGGCACCGCACCTGGACTCAGCTTTGAGACGTCTCAAAACTAAAAACAAACAGGCACCGCACCTGGACTCAGCTTTGAGACGTCTCAAAACTAAAAACAAACAGGCACCGCACCTGGACTCAGCTTTGAGACGTCTCAAAACTAAAAACAAACAGGCACCGCACCTGGACTCAGCTTTGAGACGTCTCAAAACTAAAAACAAACAGGCACCGCACCTGGACTCAGCTTTGAGACGTCTCAAAACTAAAAACAAACAGGCACCGCACCTGGACTCAGCTTTGAGACGTCTCAAAACTAAAAACAAACAGGCACCGCACCTGGACTCAGCTTCGAGACGTCTCAAAACTAAAAACAAACAGGCACCGCACCTGGACTCAGCTTTGAGACGTCTCAAAACTAAAAACAAACAGGCACTGCACCTGGACTCAGCTTTGAGACGTCTCAAAACTAAAAACAAACAGGCACCGCACCTGGACTCAGCTTTGAGACGTCTCAAAACTAAAAACAAACAGGCACCGCACCTGGACTCAGCTTTGAGACGTCTCAAAACTAAAAACAAACAGGCACCGCACCTGGACTCAGCTTTGAGACGTCTCAAAACTAAAAACAAACAGGCACCGCACCTGGACTCAGCTTTGAGACGTCTCAAAACTAAAAACAAACAGGCACCGCACCTGGACTCAGCTTTGAGACGTCTCAAAACTAAAAACAAACAGGCACCGCACCTGGACTCAGCTTTGAGACGTCTCAAAACTAAAAACAAACAGGCACCGCACCTGGACTCAGCTTTGAGACGTCTCAAAACTAAAAACAAATAGGCACCGCACCTGGACTCAGCTTTGAGACGTCTCAAAACTAAAAACAAACAGGCACCGCACCTGGACTCAGCTTTGAGACGTCTCAAAACTAAAAACAAACAGGCACCGCACCTGGACTCAGCTTTGAGACGTCTCAAAACTAAAAACAAACAGGCACCGCACCTGGACTCAGCTTTGAGACGTCTCAAAACTAAAAACAAACAGGCACCGCACCTGGACTCAGCTTTGAGACGTCTCAAAACTAAAAACAAACAGGCACCGCACCTGGACTCAGCTTTGAGACGTCTCAAAACTAAAAACAAACAGGCACCGCACCTGGACTCAGCTTTGAGACGTCTCAAAACTAAAAACAAACAGGCACCGCACCTGGACTCAGCTTTGAGACGTCTCAAAACTAAAAACAAACAGGCACCGCACCTGGACTCAGCTTTGAGACGTCTCAAAACTAAAAACAAACAGGCACCGCACCTGGACTCAGCTTTGAGACGTCTCAAAACTAAAAACAAACAGGCACCGCACCTGGACTCAGCTTTGAGACGTCTCAAAACTAAAAACAAACAGGCACCGCACCTGGACTCAGCTTTGAGACGTCTCAAAACTAAAAACAAACAGGCACCGCACCTGGACTCAGCTTTGAGACGTCTCAAAACTAAAAACAAACAGGCACCGCACCTGGACTCAGCTTTGAGACGTCTCAAAACTAAAAACAAACAGGCACCGCACCTGGACTCAGCTTTGAGACGTCTCAAAACTAAAAACAAACAGGCACCGCACCTGGACTCAGCTTTGAGACGTCTCAAAACTAAAAACAAACAGGCACCGCACCTGGACTCAGCTTTGAGACGTCTCAAAACTAAAAACAAACAGGCACCGCACCTGGACTCAGCTTTGAGACGTCTCAAAACTAAAAACAAACAGGCACCGCACCTGGACTCAGCTTTGAGACGTCTCAAAACTAAAAACAAACAGGCACCGCACCTGGACTCAGCTTTGAGACGTCTCAAAACTAAAAACAAACAGGCACCGCACCTGGACTCAGCTTTGAGACGTCTCAAAACTAAAAACAAACAGGCACCGCACCTGGACTCAGCTTTGAGACGTCTCAAAACTAAAAACAAACAGGCACCGCACCTGGACTCAGCTTTGAGACGTCTCAAAACTAAAAACAAACAGGCACCGCACCTGGACTCAGCTTTGAGACGTCTCAAAACTAAAAACAAACAGGCACCGCACCTGGACTCAGCTTTGAGACGTCTCAAAACTAAAAACAAACAGGCACCGCACCTGGACTCAGCTTTGAGACGTCTCAAAACTAAAAACAAACAGGCACCGCACCTGGACTCAGCTTTGAGACGTCTCAAAACTAAAAACAAACAGGCACCGCACCTGGACTCAGCTTTGAGACGTCTCAAAACTAAAAACAAACAGGCACCGCACCTGGACTCAGCTTTGAGACGTCTCAAAACTAAAAACAAACAGGCACCGCACCTGGACTCAGCTTTGAGACGTCTCAAAACTAAAAACAAACAGGCACCGCACCTGGACTCAGCTTCGAGACGTCTCAAAACTAAAAACAAACAGGCACCGCACCTGGACTCAGCTTTGAGACGTCTCAAAACTAAAAACAAATAGGCACCGCACCTGGACTCAGCTTTGAGACGTCTCAAAACTAAAAACAAACAGGCACCGCACCTGGACTCAGCTTTGAGACGTCTCAAAACTAAAAACAAACAGGCACCGCACCTGGACTCAGCTTTGAGACGTCTCAAAACTAAAAACAAACAGGCACCTCACCTGGACTCAGCTTTGAGACGTCTCAAAACTAAAAACAAACAGGCACCTCACCTGGACTCAGCTTTGAGACGTCTCAAAACTAAAAACAAACAGGCACCTCACCTGGACTCAGCTTTGAGACGTCTCAAAACTAAAAACAAACAGGCACCTCACCTGGACTCAGCTTTGAGACGTCTCAAAACTAAAAACAAACAGGCACCGCACCTGGACTCAGCTTTGAGACGTCTCAAAACTAAAAACAAACAGGCACCTCACCTGGACTCAGCTTTGAGACGTCTCAAAACTAAAAACAAACAGGCACCTCACCTGGACTCAGCTTTGAGACGTCTCAAAACTAAAAACAAACAGGCACCTCACCTGGACTCAGCTTTGAGACGTCTCAAAACTAAAAACAAACAGGCACCTCACCTGGACTCAGCTTTGAGACGTCTCAAAACTAAAAACAAACAGGCACCTCACCTGGACTCAGCTTTGAGACGTCTCAAAACTAAAAACAAACAGGCACCTCACCTGGACTCAGCTTTGAGACGTCTCAAAACTAAAAACAAACAGGCACCTCACCTGGACTCAGCTTTGAGACGTCTCAAAACTAAAAACAAACAGGCACCTCACCTGGACTCAGCTTTGAGACGTCTCAAAACTAAAAACAAACAGGCACCTCACCTGGACCCAGCTTTGAGACGTCTCAAAACTAAAAACAAACAGGCACCTCACCTGGACTCAGCTTTGAGACGTCTCAAAACTAAAAACAAACAGGCACCTCACCTGGACTCAGCTTTGAGACGTCTCAAAACTAAAAACAAACAGGCACCTCACCTGGACTCAGCTTTGAGACGTCTCAAAACTAAAAACAAACAGGCACCTCACCTGGACTCAGCTTTGAGACGTCTCAAAACTAAAAACAAACAGGCACCTCACCTGGACTCAGCTTTGAGACGTCTCAAAACTAAAAACAAACAGGCACCTCACCTGGACTCAGCTTTGAGACGTCTCAAAACTAAAAACAAACAGGCACCTCACCTGGACTCAGCTTTGAGACGTCTCAAAACTAAAAACAAACAGGCACCTCACCTGGACTCAGCTTTGAGACGTCTCAAAACTAAAAACAAACAGGCACCTCACCTGGACTCAGCTTTGAGACGTCTCAAAACGAAAAACAAACAGGCACCTCACCTGGACTCAGCTTTGAGACGTCTCAAAACTAAAAACAAACAGGCACCTCACCTGGACTCAGCTTTGAGACGTCTCAAAACTAAAAACAAACAGGCACCTCACCTGGACTCAGCTTTGAGACGTCTCAAAACTAAAAACAAACAGGCACCTCACCTGGACTCAGCTTTGAGACGTCTCAAAACTAAAAACAAACAGGCACCTCACCTGGACTCAGCTTTGAGACGTCTCAAAACTAAAAACAAACAGGCACCTCACCTGGACTCAGCTTTGAGACGTCTCAAAACTAAAAACAAACAGGCACCTCACCTGGACTCAGCTTTGAGACGTCTCAAAACTAAAAACAAACAGGCACCTCACCTGGACTCAGCTTTGAGACGTCTCAAAACTAAAAACAAACAGGCACCTCACCTGGACTCAGCTTTGAGACGTCTCAAAACTAAAACAAACAGGCACCTCACCTGGACTCAGCTTTGAGACGTCTCAAAACTAAAAACAAACAGGCACCTCACCTGGACTCAGCTTTGAGACGTCTCAAAACTAAAAACAAACAGGCACCTCACCTGGACTCAGCTTTGAGACGTCTCAAAACTAAAAACAAACAGGCACCTCACCTGGACTCAGCTTTGAGACGTCTCAAAACTAAAAACAAACAGGCACCTCACCTGGACTCAGCTTTGAGACGTCTCAAAACTAAAAACAAACAGGCACCGCACCTGGACTCAGCTTTGAGACGTCTCAAAACTAAAAACAAACAGGCACCTCACCTGGACTCAGCTTTGAGACGTCTCAAAAATAAAAACAAACAGGCACCTCACCTGGACTCAGCTTTGAGACGTCTCAAAACTAAAAACAAACAGGCACCTCACCTGGACTCAGCTTTGAGACGTCTCAAAACTAAAAACAAACAGGCACCTCAACTGGACTCAGCTTTGAGACGTCTCAAAACTAAAAACAAACAGGCACCTCACCTGGACTCAGCTTTGAGACGTCTCAAAACTAAAAACAAACAGGCACCTCACCTGGACTCAGCTTTGAGACGTCTCAAAACTAAAAACAAACAGGCACCTCACCTGGACTCAGCTTTGAGACGTCTCAAAACTAAAAACAAACAGGCACCTCACCTGGACTCAGCTTTGAGACGTCTCAAAACTAAAAACAAACAGGCACCTCACCTGGACTCAGCTTTGAGACGTCTCAAAACTAAAAACAAACAGGCACCTCACCTGGACTCAGCTTTGAGACGTCTCAAAACTAAAATCAAACAGGCACCTCACCTGGACTCAGCTTTGAGACGTCTCAAAACTAAAAACAAACAGGCACCTCACCTGGACTCAGCTTTGAGACGTCTCAAAACTAAAAACAAACAGGCACCTCACCTGGACTCAGCTTTGAGACGTCTCAAAACTAAAAACAAACAGGCACCTCACCTGGACTCAGCTTTGAGACGTCTCAAAACTAAAAACAAACAGGCACCTCACCTGGACTCAGCAAGCACCGCACCTGGCGTTGGCAAGGGCAGTGGAGAGGCCGAGGAAGCGGATGGGGCGGGAGGTGCGGGCAGAGATGTATCTCATCCTCGATACTATCACCTCCAGTACTGGCCCTCTGTCCTGCCCCAGCAGGTGAATCTCATCCATCACCATCAACCCCACCTGCATGGCATGGCATTCTGGGGGATGAATCGACTGATGGGATAAGTTACGAGCACTCATCACCTCCTCAAGTATTGGCCCTCTGTCCTGCCCCAACAGGTGAATCTCATCCATCACCATCAACCCCACCTGCATGCGATGGCAATTCGAGATGCAACCAGGGGTAAGGGATGGGGGTTGAGATTTCTAGAACAATCACCTCCAGTACTGGCCCTATGTCCTGCCCCAACAGATGAATCTCGTCCATCACCATCAACCCCACCTGCACAAGATGGGAGTAGGCAATGAATTAACGGGTGTACATAGGGGTTGAGAATCGAACAGCTGCAGGGGTTGTTGTATAAGATGCATCATTGATACTAGCAGCGCAGTCACCCCAACAGATGAATGAATCTCGTCCGTCACCATCAACCCCACCTGCATCAAATGGCACATGGGAACGGGTACAGCTGTACACAAGCACGCTACACCACAAAGAATTCCACGTCTATTATCTCGACTGGACTGGAGCACCCCATACGTCCCCTCGTCTGCCTCTCACCGTCTGAGCATATGACCGGTAGTGCCAGCTGCGTGTGATGCCATCCCACTTTTCACCACGCATGCACACACATCCCCGACGCACCTAAGTTTCTCTCCCGTACCCCATTTCCCTCCCCTCCTCTCTCACCGTCTGCGCATATGACCGGTTGTGCCAGCTGCGTGTGATGCCATCCCACTTCTCTGGTGTTGCCACGATCACATCAGCCGCCACCAGCAGCTTCATGTCTGGCGTGAGATCGCCAGTCAGCTCCACCTGGAGATAAAGGGAAGACAGGAGGAAGGAGAGGATGGAGAGAAGAGATGAGAGAGGAATGCAATGGAGTGGTTGGGTGAGGCAATTCTGTCAGCCGCCACCAGCAGCTTCATGTCCGAAGTGAGATCACCTGTGAGCTCCACCTGAAGTGGCAGGGAAGTGGAAAGGGAGAGGGTAATACATGGTATCACGGAGGATAGAGAGCAGAAGAGGGGAAGAGGGTGGGTGAAGCAATTCTGTCGGCCACCACCAGCAGCTTCATGTCCGGAGTGAGATCTCGTGTTTAGCTCCACGTGGAGAGGAAGGGAAGAGAGGAAGAGGGAATGACACTTGTCATCTGAGTGGGTGAGGCGATCAATCACATCAGCCGCCACCAGCAGCCTCATATCAGGAGTAAGATCTCCAGTCAGCTCCACCTGCAGTGCAATGCGGTTGGAATAGGGCGAGGTGAGGAACACAGGGGGTATGGAGAGGGCAATGGTTTAAAGCCAACATGAACAGCTTCATGTTGACCTTGCCTCAACCTGCCCCTGTCCCACTTGAGACTGCTCTAACTGCTGCAGCATGCTTCTCATGCCCTCCCGATCCTTCTCTGCCTAAGTTCATTTTCAGATTGGAGTCTTTGCATCGCCGCAACATCTGCCGTTTCCATTCCATCCAACTACTTAAAAAGATGTTAAGGAAGTGGCGCGTTAAGATCTAGAGTGGAAAAGCAAATACGACATAACCTTTAAAAAAACCAGTTACGGCTTGGGCTTTCCTACTCACCATGCACTTGCCGAGCTTTCCTACTCACCATGCACTTGCCGAGCTTTCCTACTCACCATGCACTTGCCGAGCTTTCCTACTCACCATGCACTTGCCGAGCTTTCCTACTCACCATGCACTTGCCGAGATTTCCTACTCACCATGCACTTGCCGAGCTTTCCTACTCACCATGCACTTGCCGAGCTTTCCTACTCACCATGCACTTGCCGAGCTTTCCTACTCACCATGCACTTGCCGAGCTTTCCTACTCACCATGCACTTGCCGAGCTTTCCTACTCACCATGCACTTGCCGAGCTTTCCGACTCACCATGCACTTGCCGAGCTTTCCTACTCACCATGCACTTGCCGAGCTTTCCTACTCACCATGCACTTGCCGAGCTTTCCTACTCACCATGCACTTGCCGAGCTTTCCTACTCACCATGCACTTGCCGAGCTTTCCTACTCACCATGAACTTGCCGAGCTTTCCTACTCACCATGCACTTGCCGAGCTTTCCTACTCACCATGCACTTGCCGAGCTTTCCTACTCACCATGCACTTGCCGAGATTTCCTACTCACCATGCACTTGCCGAGCTTTCCTACTCACCATGCACTTGCCGAGCTTTCCTACTCACCATGCACTTGCCGAGCTTTCCTACTCACCATGCACTTGCCGAGCTTTCCTACTCACCATGCACTTGCCGAGCTTTCCTACTCACCATGCACTTGCCGAGCTTTCCTACTCACCATGCACTTGCCGAGCTTTCCTACTCACCATGCACTTGCCGAGCTTTGGCATGAAGTTCTTGCCCCAGTCCTCCATCCTCTCTCGCACCAGGGCTTTAAGTGGCGCTATGTAAATCACCTGCCAGCACGTGCACAAGGGGTGGGCAAAAGACGTGCGAGCGAGAAGGTCAACAAACCAGAATTAATTTCTAAAAAAGGATCGCTATCTCTCTACTCCTGTGACCAGCATGGCAAGCAAGCTTAGCCGAGGTGGTATTACTACCTTGCCTCTCTTCCCCCAAGTCCCTCACCTTCATGCCTAACTGTGTGAGGAACAGCCTGAGCATGGCAATTTCGGCCGAGACGAGATAGTCTTGCTGATGCGAGTGGGATTTCCCAGCAGCTCACTCACCTGTGCATGCCTAACTCTCCATACTACCTACCTTCCTCCCTGGCTGTGCAAAACAGCCTGAGGGCAAGTTCAGCTGAGATGGTCTTGCCACTGCTGGTGAGAGCACCCAGCAGCACACTCACTCATCCATGTGTATCTCTCTCTCTGCACCAATTCCACTCCTACCTTCATCCCTGGCTGTGTGCGGAACAGCCTGAGCATGGCAAGTTCAGCCGAGATGGTCTTGCCACTGCCAGTGGGGGCACCGAGCAGCACGCTGTGATCGGAGTGGTAGAGCGTGTGGAAGGCCTGAGTCTGAATGGGGTTGAAGTGTGAAAAGCCATACAGCCCGATGGCTTCGGCGTCCCCCAGTGCTGTGACGGGCAGAGGACGCAGATTCAGGAGCTCTGTGTGGGGCGGGTGGCGCTGAGAAGAGGGGAACAGAAGCCAGAGGAAATCGAGGGAGAAAACGGGAGGAGGGAGGAAGGGAGGGATGAATAGGCTGACGCAGAGCAGAAGACGCATGGTTTGATCGATAGCGCCACTGCCAGTGGGAGCACCAAGCAGCACGCTGTGGTCGGAGTGGTAGAGCGTGTGGAACGCCTGAGTCTGAATGGGGTTGAAGTGTGAAAAGCCGTACGGCCCGATGGCTTGTGGGTCGCCGAGTGCTGTTACTGGGAGCGGGCGCAGATCCAGGAGCTCTGTGTGGGGTGGGTGGCGCTGGGGAGAGGGAAGGCGGGAGGGAGAAAAAACAGAGAAACAGGGGGGTGCGTATAAATAGTTTGAAGCAGGAGAACTACCCTGTGCAAGGGGTACCCTGGGTTGAGAGATGCCGTGAGCAGAATAAGGATTACCACAGTTCACGGGCACTATGGATGAAAGTTAACCCTGGAAGGATGAGAGTAATCCCGGGCAGGATGAAACCTACCAAAGGCAGGATTAAAGCCACCTTGGGCAGGACGAGAGTTACCTCTGGCAGGATGAGGTGGCGGAAGGAGATGGTATGTGTGGAGGAGGAGGAGAGCCAGTTGTCTGAGATGGCTCGCACGTAGTACTGAGGGGGTAGTGGCTCAAAGATGGGGATGGTGAAGGTGAGCGTGTGCGTGCCCTGCGCCATCATCTTCTTGGAAAGAATGAAGTACTCTGTGTGGTAGATGTGCTCGTTCTCGCTGTCCTGCCAAGATGCAGAGCGGTGGAGAGGGGTGAAGTGTGGTGGAGAGGGGTGGAGAGGGGTTGGGATGGGGATGGTGAAGGTGAGCGTGTACGTGCCCTGCGCCATCATCTTCTTGGAAAGAATGAAGTACTCTGTGTGGTAGATGTGCTCGTTCTCGCTGTCCTGCCAAGATGCAGAGCGGTGGAGAGGGGTGAAGTGTGGTGGAGAGGGGTGGAGAGGGGTTGGGATGGGGATGGTGAAGGTGAGCGTGTGCGTGCCCTGCGCCATCATCTTCTTGGAAAGAATGAAGTACTCTGTGTGGTAGATGTGCTCGTTCTCGCTGTCCTGCCAAGATGCAGAGCGGTGGAGAGGGGTGAAGTGTGGTGGAGAGGGGTGGAGAGGGGTTGGGATGGGGATGGTGAAGGTGAGCGTGTGTGTGCCCTGCGCCATCATCTTCTTGGACAGAATGAAGTACTCCGTGTGGTAGATGTGCTCGTTCTCACTGTCCTACCAAGGTGGAGAGCGGTGGAGAGGGGTGGAGTGGAGTAGGGAGGGGTGGAGAGGGGTGGAGAGGGGCTTAGATAGTGGAGAACGGGATGGTGAAGGTGAGTGTGTGTGTGCCCTGCGCCATCATCTTCTTGGAGAGAATGAAATACTCCGCGTGGTATATGTGCTCGTTCTCACTGTCCTGCAGTGGAGAGGGGTAGAGTGGGGTGATGAATGGGTGGAGATGGGTGAAAATTTATCAACTTGACGACCAGACTAGACAACTTCCACTCATCCACTGATACACCTCCACGATCCTTGCCAGTCAAGTCCAACCGCACCCAGCCACCCGCTGACCGCCACTCCATTCTACCCATACACACCTCTCTCTACCCATACATCCACCGCTCACCTCCACCCATATCCACCGCTCACCTCCACCCATATCCACCAGCGCTGGGCGTTGCCATGGAATCTTTCCTTCCAGTGGAAGGTGGGCGTCACATAGAGTGTCACCTGGAAGGGAGAAAGGGAGGGGATGCATTTATGTGAGCAGGGGCAGCTGGTGCACGTGCTAGCATGCGCATACAGTATAGCGCCTGTTGAAGTGCCGTGAAATCTGTCCTTCCAGTGGAAGGTGGGCGTCACATAGAGGGTCACCTGGCTTGGTTGAAGGGCGAAGAGGGAAAGAGGGCGGGGGAGGAGGTCAAGGTAAGTGAGGTGATGAGTGGATGTGATGGAGTGGAAAGTCGTTGAGCAGGAAAGGAGATGAAGAATAAAGGTGCAGGAACAGAAGGCAGTGCAGGTGCAGTGCATGTGTGGGGTTCATGGCTGAAGAGGAAAGGGTGGGTGATGGATGGGATGTGGCATAGAGAAACGAAGGGCTGACCTGCAGCACAGTGCGGGTGATTGGGCTGATGTGAGCGTCGAGCTCGAGATAGGGGAACTGAGAGACGCACTGCGACACCAGCTGAGGGACGGAGGAGAGGAGAGAGCAGGAGAGAGGAGAGGAGGGAGAAGGAATAACGCAAAGAAAATATTGGACATAAGTTTTTCCTTCAAGCTAAGCAAGAATTCAGTGCAAGAGGGTGGGTTACACGCTGCTGAGGTACATAATTCAATTCAGGTAACTTGGAAAATGTCACGCATAAAATAAATCAAATAACATAGGCTCATCTTGAGGTGCCTAAAAAATCAACTTTGAAAATGCATTTCCTGATGCAGCTCTCATTTTCACTCCTTCTAAGTGTGGTCTGAGTCTGCTATTTTCCATTACACCAGCAGCACAGCCCACCTTGGCAGCGTAGGGCGAGCGGATGATGGCAGCAATCTCACTGTCGTCCATGTCACACAGTCGATCCAGATCCAACCCCCGGTCCTCCAGCTTGAACAGTACCTGGTGCAGAGCGAGGGGGGCACAAGCATGACATGACATGGAACAATGAGAAGAATTACCTCCTGTGAAAGCACAGACTCGAACTGACAAAGAGGATGTTGGTGTGGCCAGATGCGCTGGTCCACCGCCTTCGCCATCTCCAGCAGGGAGGCCGCCAGGGAGCAGAGGACCATCCTTTTCACCGAGGTGAGGCGGACTACATACTTCCTGTGAAAGCACAGACTCGAACTGCCTTAGCGGGTGCTGGTGCATGCGCTGATCAACCGCCTTGGCCATCTCCAGCAGGGAGGCCGCCAGGGAGACGAGGGGGGAGAAAAGATTGGCTCAGATTGATGACGGAGAGATGTATTACCTCCTGAGAGATCACGGATTCAAAAAGCCTTAGCGGGTGTTGGTGCGGCCAGACGCGCTGATCCACCGCCTTGGCCATCTCCAGAGGGAGGCCGCCAGGTAGCACCACCTAGTGGACCAAAAGCGGCTGGATCACCCACCTCCTGTGAAATAACCGACTCGAATTGCCTTAGTGGGTGCTGGTGCGGCCAGATGCGCTGGTCCACTGCCTTGGCCATCTCCAGCAGGGAGGCCGCCAGGGAGCACCATCCTCGCTTTAGAGTGATTTCAAAAAGCGCACGTGTGATGCGGCCGAGAGAGGCGGAGACGTAGGCAGTGTCGGCGATAAGTGAGAAGGAGTCGAGGTAGCCGCGCGATAGGTAGACCTGAGGAAGGGAGGAGAGAAGTAAGGAGAGCGAATGAAAGGTCATTCAGATGCGGCTGAGGGACACGGATACATAGGCAGTGTCGGCGATGAGTGAGGAGTCGAAATAGCTGCGCGATAGATAGACCTGGGGGAGGGAGTTACAGCGAAAATGAGGGGACAGGGAGCATCAGATGTCTAAAGGGGTGCACGATGCGGCCCAGCATGGCAGATACATATGCAGTGTCCGCGATGAGCGAGAACGAGTCGAGATAGCCGCGGGACAGGTACGCCTGCAAGACGGGTGAGGAAGTGAGCGGAAAGAGGGCAGGGGGGCGAAGGAATGAAATGACAAACAGAGAACATTCCATTGTGGCTGACGGAGGGGGGGGAGACATATACAGTGCTGGCGATGAGTGAGAAGGAGACAGTACAGCTTCTCGCCGCTTACACTCGCCTGGATGAGAATGTTGATCTTCCCGATCTTGTCCTCTGGCCCCCCCTTCACGTCCAGGCGGCCACACTTACAGGATTGACATGACAACATTGGCTGAGTGGCAATCAGCTTTCTTACGGTACAGTGATTCGTCGCCTACACTCGCCTGGATGAGAATTTTGATCTTCCCGATCTTGTCCTCCGGCCCGCCCTTCACGTCCAGAAGGCAGAACTTGGCAAGAATCACAACCTCGGCTGTTGCTTGTCCTTACATAACAGACACTACAGACCCTCCTCCTACACGCACCTGAATGAGAATGTTGATCTTCCCGATCTTGTCCTCTGGCCCGCCCTTCACATCCAGAGGGCAGAACTTGGAGCGCAGAGTGAAGAGCTCTGGCATCTCCTCCTCTCGCACCACTATGTTCTCGAACTCGGAAGACCGTGCTATCAGATCCACAATCTGGGGTTAGTGGCCGAAGTGACAGGGGAGATGTAAAGTAGGTGTGAGGTGGGGCAGGGAAGGGTGAAGAGTTCGGGAATCTGCTCCTCTCACGCCATTATGTTCTCAAACTCAGATGATTGGGCTATCTGATCCGCAATCTGTGGTGGGGAGGTGTGAGGAGGGAGAGGGGATGTGAGCGAGAGGTGGGGCAGGGAAGGGTGATGAGCTCAAGAATCTCCTCCTCTCCCACTACCATGTTCCGGAATTAAGTAATCCCGCAACCAGGCTGACAATGCGAACTTGGAGGAGAAGAGAATTAGCAAGGAGCTCTCCAGCTGCCAGATCTATTCCCCTCTCACAGAATCCCCTCCCCTTGCCCCCCCTCTCACCTCGCTCTCGCTCATGTGTCGCCTCAGCAGCTCGTTATAAGTCTCAACCGAAGTATAACGAATGTAGAAGTGGCTCGCCACGCGCCCCAGCTCCGTCACATACAGCTGCCCGCTGCGCTCGTCAAACCTCATCATCTTGGCTCGGTCAAGAGAACGAGCAGCCTCGGTGATCAAGGCCTGCCGCCGAGCCACCAGGCCCGGATCCATGGCTACCTGGAAGGGCGGGGGGAAAGAGGAAGGGGGAGAGGAGATGGGTGGCTGGCTCAACAACGCAAATCCTTTGTCTTGGCGTATATACCAACAGGCCCACATGCACTGCCCCTTCATTCAACCGTAGCACTGCGATCAACACAAATACGCATGCGGTCACATCGTGCCACGTCATACTCACAGCCTCCCACGTCAAACTCACATCCTGCCACGTCATGCCGTAGGCCAGAGGGTTGGCCTGCATGCGCACAAAGAGGTACGTGTACCCCAGCCAGGCTGACACCCTGCTCCCAGCATAACCCCATATAACCCCAGCACTCACATCTTGCCACGTCATGCCGTATGCCAGAGGGTTGGCTTGCATGCGCACAAACAGGTACGTGTACCCCAGCCAGGCTGACGCTTCCTTCACGTTCGTCACCGTCCCCAGCACCACCTCCGCATTCAGATTGTCCTTTAGCATCGCCACGAACTGTGGAGGAAGTGACATAAGATTTGGGGGGAGAGGGTGCTTGGATTCAGATGCCTCCTTCGCGGTGGCGACTGTGCCCAACACCACTTCTCTGTTTAGAATTCTTGTGATGTGTTTGTTCAGAACATACTGATGCCTCACAATTAGCCAGTAACTCAGACTGCAGTGGCGAATGGAACACATGAGATTTGACTGTACCTGGGGAGGGGAGGACTCACCTGAGGAATCACCTGAGACGCAACGAGCATAGCTGGAAAACAACTTGAGATTCACAAACACCTGAAGTCTCACCTGGGACTCGATGGGGAGCTGGTGGGTCATGAGGCGGAGGTAGTGTGCGAGCTGGTTGTGAGCCGTGATGATGATGCCCTCCCCACTCGAATCAAACTGTGGCCGGCCCGCTCGACCAAAGATCTGTGTAAGAACAGAAAAAAAGGACCCAGGTTGAGACCTCTGTGTGACTGAGCTGAGCGGTGTACAAACGAGAAGTCACACAAAGGTTTGAAACATGATGCAAATCTGATCCATGCCATGTTAAGAAAGGGCGACACAACAGCCAGCTGCACACGATGCAACAGCTGCGTTACACAACATGCACGGATCTGCATCCTTCCTTCTGCTGCACCACACAGCACCGCACTGCACACCGCATCATCTCTTCCCACTCACCTGCATCACATCCAGCATGCCCATTGCACCACACGTCACCGCACTGCACCCAGCCTCACCTGCATGACATCCAGCATGCCCAGTTCCCGGAAGCCGCCAACTTTGGCGTCATACAGCTGAGTGCCCTGTGGGAGGTGAGGAAGGGAAAGGGAGGACGAGGGGGAAAACAGGGGGCTCCTTGAGGTTTTATCTAGAAGTTGTGGACAGGTCATTTTTAAGAATAAAAGACATTTGAAACCATCCATGTGTAACTTTCTAAAGGGCTACATATTAGAGACGCACCTTGACAATGAATTTTTGAGCCGGAAGGTTAGATTTGATTAATTCTTTCAATGGGCTATTAAGTAGCAGCCACTATTGAAAGACGCACCTTGATAATGACAGTGTGCGCCGGCAGGTTAACTCCCCATGCCAACGTGGCTGTGCACATAAGCACCTGCGATGGGATGGGATAGGCGAAAGGATGGGGAGGAGAGCAAGAGCGCGTTGAGTAGACATCCCAACGGACGTGCAGCCACGTGACAGAGAGCAGTTGGGACAAAAAAAGAGGAAGAGCAAGAGAGCGAGAGAGGAAGAGAAATGTTTCACAGGCGAATTAAACGGCAGTGGAAACGAACAAGAGTTGAGAAAAGTGGCCTATATCTATCTATGTGTACACACTCACGCCCTCACCTGCACGTCACTCATACGTATGCACACGTCCACCACTCACCTTGTTAATGAGCTCCATGCTGACATCCATGCTGAGCTCCATGCTGAAGAGCCTTACTCTCAGTGAGCAAACGAACGGAGAAAGACATACCATCCAGTCCAGTTCATGCGCACTGTGCACTAGTTGGTTCTTGAAATCTCTCGAAGAAGATTCAGCTCAATGTCTGTTGTCCCACCTTGATGAGCCCCATGCTGAAGAGCTTCTCAGTGAGCGAGCGGTCGGGACGAAGCATGCCATCCGGTTCACGAGCACTGTGCACCTAGGTACATGCACATACATTACGCTCACCCATGACCTTGATGTTGCTACTACCCATAAACATTTCACACCCTCCCAGTCTCACCTTGACGAGCCCCATGCTGAAGAGCTTCTCTGTGAGCGAGCGGTCGGGGCGCAGCATGCCGGCATGGTGGATGCTCCTCGCACATAGGCAGATGCGCAGCCCTCCCATCTCCCATCATACCTTGACGAGCCCCATGCTGAAGAGCTTCTCTGTGAGCGAGCGGTCGGGGCGCAGCATGCCGGCATGGTGGATGCTCCTCGCACATAGGCAGATGCGCAGCCCTCCCATCTCCCATCATACCTTGACGAGCCCCATGCTGAAGAGCTTCTCTGTGAGCGAGCGGTCGGGGCGCAGCATGCCGGCATGGTGGATGCTCCTCGCACATAGGCAGATGCGCAGCCCTCCCATCTCCCATCATACCTTGACGAGCCCCATGCTGAAGAGCTTCTCTGTGAGCGAGCGGTCGGGGCGCAGCATGCCGGCATGGTGGATGCTCCTCGCACATAGGCAGATGCGCAGCCCTCCCATCTCCCATCATACCTTGACGAGCCCCATGCTGAAGAGCTTCTCTGTGAGCGAGCGGTCGGGGCGCAGCATGCCGGCATGGTGGATGCTCCTCGCACATAGGCAGATGCGCAGCCCTCCCATCTCCCATCATACCTTGACGAGCCCCATGCTGAAGAGCTTCTCTGTGAGCGAGCGGTCGGGGCGCAGCATGCCGGCATGGTGGATGCTCCTCGCACATAGGCAGATGCGCAGCCCTCCCATCTCCCATCATACCTTGACGAGCCCCATGCTGAAGAGCTTCTCTGTGAGCGAGCGGTCGGGGCACAGCATGCCGGCATGGTGGATGCTCCTCGCACATAGGCAGATGCGCAGCCCTCCCATCTCCCATCATACCTTGACGAGCCCCATGCTGAAGAGCTTCTCTGTGAGCGAGCGGTCGGGGCGCAGCATGCCGGCATGGTGGATGCTCCTCGCACATAGGCAGATGCGCAGCCCTCCCATCTCCCATCATACCTTGACGAGCCCCATGCTGAAGAGCTTCTCTGTGAGCGAGCGGTCGGGGCGCAGCATGCCGGCATGGTGGATGCTCCTCGCACATAGGCAGATGCGCAGCCCTCCCATCTCCCATCATACCTTGACGAGCCCCATGCTGAAGAGCTTCTCTGTGAGCGAGCGGTCGGGGCGCAGCATGCCGGCATGGTGGATGCTCCTCGCACATAGGCAGATGCGCAGCCCTCCCATCTCCCATCATACCTTGACGAGCCCCATGCTGAAGAGCTTCTCTGTGAGCGAGCGGTCGGGGCGCAGCATGCCGGCATGGTGGATGCTCCTCGCACATAGGCAGATGCGCAGCCCTCCCATCTCCCATCATACCTTGACGAGCCCCATGCTGAAGAGCTTCTCTGTGAGCGAGCGGTCGGGGCGCAGCATGCCGGCATGGTGGATGCTCCTCGCACATAGGCAGATGCGCAGCCCTCCCATCTCCCATCATACCTTGACGAGCCCCATGCTGAAGAGCTTCTCTGTGAGCGAGAGGTCGGGGCGCAGCATGCCGGCATGGTGGATGCTCCTCGCACATAGGCAGATGCGCAGCCCTCCCATCTCCCATCATACCTTGACGAGCCCCATGCTGAAGAGCTTCTCTGTGAGCGAGCGGTCGGGGCGCAGCATGCCGGCATGGTGGATGCTCCTCGCACATAGGCAGATGCGCAGCCCTCCCATCTCCCATCATACCTTGACGAGCCCCATGCTGAAGAGCTTCTCTGTGAGCGAGCGGTCGGGGCGCAGCATGCCGGCATGGTGGATGCTCCTCGCACATAGGCAGATGCGCAGCCCTCCCATCTCCCATCATACCTTGACGAGCCCCATGCTGAAGAGCTTCTCTGTGAGCGAGCGGTCGGGGCGCAGCATGCCGGCATGGTGGATGCTCCTCGCACATAGGCAGATGCGCAGCCCTCCCATCTCCCATCATACCTTGACGAGCCCCATGCTGAAGAGCTTCTCTGTGAGCGAGCGGTCGGGGCGCAGCATGCCGGCATGGTGGATGCTCCTCGCACATAGGCAGATGCGCAGCCCTCCCATCTCCCATCATACCTTGACGAGCCCCATGCTGAAGAGCTTCTCTGTGAGCGAGCGGTCGGGGCGCAGCATGCCGGCATGGTGGATGCTCCTCGCACATAGGCAAATGCGCAGCCCTCCCATCTCCCATCATACCTTGACGAGCCCCATGCTGAAGAGCTTCTCTGTGAGCGAGCGGTCGGGGCGCAGCATGCCGGCATGGTGGATGCTCCTCGCACATAGGCAGATGCGCAGCCCTCCCATCTCCCATCATACCTTGACGAGCCCCATGCTGAAGAGCTTCTCTGTGAGCGAGCGGTCGGGGCGCAGCATGCCGGCATGGTGGATGCTCCTCGCACATAGGCAGATGCGCAGCCCTCCCATCTCCCATCATACCTTGACGAGCCCCATGCTGAAGAGCTTCTCTGTGAGCGAGCGGTCGGGGCGCAGCATGCCGGCATGGTGGATGCTCCTCGCACATAGGCAGATGCGCAGCCCTCCCATCTCCCATCATACCTTGACGAGCCCCATGCTGAAGAGCTTCTCTGTGAGCGAGCGGTCGGGGCGCAGCATGCCGGCATGGTGGATGCTCCTCGCACATAGGCAGATGCGCAGCCCTCCCATCTCCCATCATACCTTGACGAGCCCCATGCTGAAGAGCTTCTCTGTGAGCGAGCGGTCGGGGCGCAGCATGCCGGCATGGTGGATGCTCCTCGCACATAGGCAGATGCGCAGCCCTCCCATCTCCCATCATACCTTGACGAGCCCCATGCTGAAGAGCTTCTCTGTGAGCGAGCGGTCGGGGCGCAGCATGCCGGCATGGTGGATGCTCCTCGCACATAGGCAGATGCGCAGCCCTCCCATCTCCCATCATACCTTGACGAGCCCCATGCTGAAGAGCTTCTCTGTGAGCGAGCGGTTGGGGCGCAGCATGCCGGCATGGTGGATGCTCCTCGCACATAGGCAGATGCGCAGCCCTCCCATCTCCCATCATACCTTGACGAGCCCCATGCTGAAGAGCTTCTCTGTGAGCGAGCGGTCGGGGCGCAGCATGCCGGCATGGTGGATGCTCCTCGCACATAGGCAGATGCGCAGCCCTCCCATCTCCCATCATACCTTGACGAGCCCCATGCTGAAGAGCTTCTCTGTGAGCGAGCGGTCGGGGCGCAGCATGCCGGCATGGTGGATGCTCCTCGCACATAGGCAGATGCGCAGCCCTCCCATCTCCCATCATACCTTGACGAGCCCCATGCTGAAGAGCTTCTCTGTGAGCGAGCGGTCGGGGCGCAGCATGCCGGCATGGTGGATGCTCCTCGCACATAGGCAGATGCGCAGCCCTCCCATCTCCCATCATACCTTGACGAGCCCCATGCTGAAGAGCTTCTCTGTGAGCGAGCGGTCGGGGCGCAGCATGCCGGCATGGTGGATGCTCCTCGCACATAGGCAGATGCGCAGCCCTCCCATCTCCCATCATACCTTGACGAGCCCCATGCTGAAGAGCTTCTCTGTGAGCGAGCGGTCGGGGCGCAGCATGCCGGCATGGTGGATGCTCCTCGCACATAGGCAGATGCGCAGCCCTCCCATCTCCCATCATATCTTGACGAGCCCCATGCTGAAGAGCTTCTCTGTGAGCGAGCGGTCGGGGCGCAGCATGCCGGCATGGTGGATGCTCCTCGCACATAGGCAGATGCGCAGCCCTCCCATCTCCCATCATACCTTGACGAGCCCCATGCTGAAGAGCTTCTCTGTGAGCGAGCGGTCGGGGCGCAGCATGCCGGCATGGTGGATGCTCCTCGCACATAGGCAGATGCGCAGCCCTCCCATCTCCCATCATACCTTGACGAGCCCCATGCTGAAGAGCTTCTCTGTGAGCGAGCGGTCGGGGCGCAGCATGCCGGCATGGTGGATGCTCCTCGCACATAGGCAGATGCGCAGCCCTCCCATCTCCCATCATACCTTGACGAGCCCCATGCTGAAGAGCTTCTCTGTGAGCGAGCGGTCGGGGCGCAGCATGCCGGCATGGTGGATGCTCCTCGCACATAGGCAGATGCGCAGCCCTCCCATCTCCCATCATACCTTGACGAGCCCCATGCTGAAGAGCTTCTCTGTGAGCGAGCGGTCGGGGCGCAGCATGCCGGCATGGTGGATGCTCCTCGCACATAGGCAGATGCGCAGCCCTCCCATCTCCCATCATACCTTGACGAGCCCCATGCTGAAGAGCTTCTCTGTGAGCGAGCGGTCGGGGCGCAGCATGCCGGCATGGTGGATGCTCCTCGCACATAGGCAGATGCGCAGCCCTCCCATCTCCCATCATACCTTGACGAGCCCCATGCTGAAGAGCTTCTCTGTGAGCGAGCGGTCGGGGCGCAGCATGCCGGCATGGTGGATGCTCCTCGCACATAGGCAGATGCGCAGCCCTCCCATCTCCCATCATACCTTGACGAGCCCCATGCTGAAGAGCTTCTCTGTGAGCGAGCGGTCGGGGCGCAGCATGCCGGCATGGTGGATGCTCCTCGCACATAGGCAGATGCGCAGCCCTCCCATCTCCCATCATACCTTGACGAGCCCCATGCTGAAGAGCTTCTCTGTGAGCGAGCGGTCGGGGCGCAGCATGCCGGCATGGTGGATGCTCCTCGCACATAGGCAGATGCGCAGCCCTCCCATCTCCCATCATACCTTGACGAGCCCCATGCTGAAGAGCTTCTCTGTGAGCGAGCGGTCGGGGCGCAGCATGCCGGCATGGTGGATGCTCCTCGCACATAGGCAGATGCGCAGCCCTCCCATCTCCCATCATATCTTGACGAGCCCCATGCTGAAGAGCTTCTCTGTGAGCGAGCGGTCGGGGCGCAGCATGCCGGCATGGTGGATGCTCCTCGCACATAGGCAGATGCGCAGCCCTCCCATCTCCCATCATACCTTGACGAGCCCCATGCTGAAGAGCTTCTCTGTGAGCGAGCGGTCGGGGCGCAGCATGCCGGCATGGTGGATGCTCCTCGCACATAGGCAGATGCGCAGCCCTCCCATCTCCCATCATACCTTGACGAGCCCCATGCTGAAGAGCTTCTCTGTGAGCGAGCGGTCGGGGCGCAGCATGCCGGCATGGTGGATGCTCCTCGCACATAGGCAGATGCGCAGCCCTCCCATCTCCCATCATACCTTGACGAGCCCCATGCTGAAGAGCTTCTCTGTGAGCGAGCGGTCGGGGCGCAGCATGCCGGCATGGTGGATGCTCCTCGCACATAGGCAGATGCGCAGCCCTCCCATCTCCCATCATACCTTGACGAGCCCCATGCTGAAGAGCTTCTCTGTGAGCGAGCGGTCGGGGCGCAGCATGCCGGCATGGTGGATGCTCCTCGCACATAGGCAGATGCGCAGCCCTCCCATCTCCCATCATACCTTGACGAGCCCCATGCTGAAGAGCTTCTCTGTGAGCGAGCGGTCGGGGCGCAGCATGCCGGCATGGTGGATGCTCCTCGCGCATAGGCAGATGCGCAGCCCTCCCATCTCCCATCATACCTTGACGAGCCCCATGCTGAAGAGCTTCTCTGTGAGCGAGCGGTCGGGGCGCAGCATGCCGGCATGGTGGATGCTCCTCGCACATAGGCAGATGCGCAGCCCTCCCATCTCCCATCATACCTTGACGAGCCCCATGCTGAAGAGCTTCTCTGTGAGCGAGCGGTCGGGACGCAGCATGCCAGCATGGTGGATGCCGAAACCAGCCTGGAAGAGCTCCCCCATCTCCCTGTTGCGCGACCTCATCACATCCTTCTGTTGTGTTGGTAGGGGGGAGGAGAGGAGACAGCAGAGCAGAGTAGGGGATGAGCACAGCAGAGAGCAGCATGCCGGCCGGCATGGTGGATGCCGAAGCCCCATCTCCCTGTTGCGCGACCTCATCACGTCCTTCTGCTTGGTGTGGAAAGTGAGGGAAAAGGGGAGAGAAGTGGGGCGGGGAGGGGAGCGTGTGCAAGGGTATGGGTGAGTGAGTGAGTGAGCGAGTGAGTGAGTGAGTGAGTGAGTGAGTGAGTGAGGGCGTGAGTGGAGCATGGCCGCATGAAGAGCTCCCCATCTCCCTGTTGCGCGACCTCATCACGTCCTCCAGCTCAGGTGGGAGAAGAGAAGAGGGAGAGAAGAGGGAGAGAAGGGCGAGAGAAGTGGGAGAAAAGCAAAGGGGTAAGGGGATGGTCAAGAGAGCTTCGCCATCTTCCTGTTGTGCGACCGCATCACATACCCCTAATCCTTATCTCCTCCATGAGCTTGCTTGCACTGCAGCTGCCGCCGTACCATACCTACAGTACCATACCTACAGTACTACCATACCTCCATGAGTTTGTATTGTGGCTGCTCTTGCGGGTTGAACAGCTCCGCCTCCCCGTTCCTCTGCACCAATCTTCAAACACAGTCACCGACCGCACCACCAAAGAGAACCAGTGCACATCTCTGCTGTACCATCTCTTTCCAGGGCCTCAAAAATACATCCATGCCACACCGTACCGTACCTCCATGAGTTTATACTGTGGTTGCTCCTGCGGATTGAACAGCTCCGACTCCCCGTTCCTCTGCGCCGTTTCCATCTGAAGGGACAGGGTGGTGGTGGGTGGTGACGGGTGGTGCGATCAGGTAATGACATGAGATGAGAGGCGTGAGCATAGAAGCTCACACGCTCCCAACAGTGATGCTCATGGCAGCAGGATGCGATAATTGAGTCGACTCAAAAATCGCCTCATCACACACAGGATGCGATAATTGAGTCGACTCAAAAATCGCCTCATCACACACAGGATGCGATAATTGAGTCGACTCAAAAATCGCCTCATCACACACAGGATGCGATAATTGAGTCGACTCAAAAATCGCCTCATCACACACAGGATGCGATAATTGAGTCGACTCAAGAATCGCCTCATCACACACAGGATGCGATAATTGAGTCGACTCAAAAATCGCCTCATCACACACAGGATGCAATAATTGAGTCGACTCAAAAATCGCCTCATCACACACAGGATGCGATAATTGAGTCGACTCAAAAATCGCCTCATCACACACAGGATGCGATAATTGAGTCGACTCAAAAATCGCCTCATCACACACAGGATGCGATAATTGAGTCGACTCAAAAATCGCCTCATCACACACAGGATGCGATAATTGAGTCGACTCAAGAATCGCCTCATCACACACAGGATGCGATAATTGAGTCGACTAAAAAATCGCCTCATCACACACAGGATGCGATAATTGAGTCGACTAAAAAATCGCCTCATCACACACAGGATGCGATAATTGAGTCGACTAAAAAATCGCCTCATCACACACAGGATGCGATAATTGAGTCGACTCAAAAATCGCCTCATCACACACAGGATGCGATAATTGAGTCGACTCAAGAATCGCCTCATCACACACAGGATGCGATAATTGAGTCGACTCAAGAATCGCCTCATCACACACATGATGCGATAATTGAGTCGACTCAAAAATCGCCTCATCACACACAGGATGCGATAATTGAGTCGACTCAAAAATCGCCTCATCACACACAGGATGCGATAATTGAGTCGACTAAAAAATCGCCTCATCACACACAGGATGCGATAATTGAGTCGACTAAAAAATCGCCTCATCACACACAGGATGCGATAATTGAGTCGACTCAAAAATCGCCTCATCACACACAGGATGCGATAATTGAGTCGACTCAAGAATCGCCTCATCACACACATGATGCGATAATTGAGTCGACTCAAAAATCGCCTCATCACACACAGGATGCGATAATTGAGTCGACTCAAAAATCGCCTCATCACACACAGGATGCGATAATAGCACAGTTTCAAATGCACGTGGTGATTGCACGGCACAGCACGCACCAGTATCCTCGCAGTCTTAACGGTGTCCTTCCTGGAATGCACAAACACCATCGCCTGCTTGCTAGGTCGACTCAGTGACGATACCCAGGATTATGACACATAGGAATCAAGTATCACCACCACCAGTAGCAGCACGGCACGCACCAGTATCCTCGCGGTCTTAACAGTGTCCTTTCTGGAATGCACAAACACCATCGCCTGCTTCCCGTTCTTCACCGCATTCATTGCCTGCCAAGGGGAAATAGGGGCCAAACAAGTCAGTAACACACACACAAAGCCACGCAGATAATCAGCTCTCTCAGCAATCTCATTGCAGAACCAATCTCATTGCAGAACCAATCTCATTGCAGAACCATTCTCCAGAATGTCTCCCAGCGAAGTTCCTTCCCCTTCTTAACCACGTTAATTGCGTGCCAAAAGCGATATGGTTCAAGGCCGACATGCAGTGAAAAAACTGACCTGAGCATTCGAGTAATCAAGACTACGTGTGAGAGAGAGTGGTCCTTGGACGACTGGGTGAACGAGGGGTCCCGGACAACGTGTTTGACCCGGACATCAACACCAACCCCAGCTTCCAGGCGCACATTGACTATGTGCGCAACCAGCGTGCCAATGAGCTCAAAGCACTCTCTGAAGGCGACCGCACCGTGCTTGTCGGTACGTGCTCGCCCGCCTGCCTCTGCCCCTTCCTTCCCTTCACCCTGTCCCTGTCCCTCTCTTTCTTCCCTTCCCGTGCCCTCTTACTCTCACATGCTCCCGTCCCATCCTCCACCCACCATCCTCTTCCATCACATTACATCATCTCAGTCTCCCATCACTGCAAGCACAAATCATCGTGCATGCGAGGGTTCCAACTCTATGCAATCAACTCTACACGACTCAGACGAGCACTAACTACAGTCTTCAACCGTGGAAGCTCTCACTCATGGATGTAATAACTCCTCGTGCTTACCCACCCACCTTCTCATAGGCAATCTCGTGCATGAGGGTGTTGCGCCGGGCGAAGTTGGGTTCTGAGACCCCAATGTACTGCTGGGAGAGTGGCACGGGGCGGTAGGAGGCGTCGAAATAGAAGAGACCCGTGTCGAGGTTGACCCGCAGGAATTGTGCCACCTGTTTGTGTGTGTGAAGTGGGGAGGAGA